GAGTTAGAACCGCTGATCTCAAATGGTGGTGAGACTCCAGCTGCACGAACACAGAAATACACAGGTTGGGGATCATTCCTGCCTTGAACTCACAGGGTAGGTGGTGGTTGGGTCGGCCTCGTGTTCAACTGAGGAAGTTGCCACGTGGACGTTGTTGGCCTAATAAAGGCTGTTCAGAGACCATGTGCTATTCCATGCCTATGTACATGTGCAACGAATCAGGGCTTTTACAGTGTCCAGCTTGGCGAGGGTGAAAGCCGAGTCAGGATTGGCCCTGTCTCATTCCCTGCTCTTTGAGGGAAAGCGATGAGGGAAATGTTTAACTTCGTAGTCATAAGGAAGCTGTGGGGAAAGTACCCACACTATTCCCCTTAGGTTGGCAAAAGTGAACTCCTGTCTGCGGCCCACAGTATGGCAACCAGCTGACATTTCCTGTAAACATGCGTACAAACTCTCTTGTCCCCTCAGAAGCGAACTCTTGGAACGCTTTTAAGCTTTCTCGGGACGATAGTGGACTCCTGTGTCAGATACAGGGCTCTCCACACTGACTCAGTCCTGAGCAGTGTGGGAAATATGGCCGTACTTCCTGCGTCTATAATCCCTGAGCTGGATAATAAAGCAGAGACCTGCGACCATGCCTTTGACACTGTTGGTTGTTCAGGAGATGTTATGGGAGGACATGGCTATATTCCAAAGCAGGAGCATGCTGATTTGGATAACCTTGACTTTTCTGATTGGCTCAGCCCAATAGAAAATGAATCGTCTCTTTTAGCACCTTGAATACCTTTCCCCCACTCTTTCCCTTTCTGAGGCTTGTCTATGTTGACAATGATCCCATGTGATAGAAACATGGTTTTTCACTCAAGGTCTTACGATACTTGTTTGCCTGTACTTTCTTTTAAAGGGGCCTTGGTGACGCAGTATTTAAAATGCTTAGCTGCCAGCCATGCGGTCCGTAGTATGAACCCACTACCGCTCCGGGGGAGACTGGGGGGCAGTCTGGTTCCATGAGAAACAGATGGCCCTGGAAGCCCTATGGGGCAGCTCTGTCTGTCTGATGAGCTGAGATTGACTGGATACACGTGGTGGGCTTGGTTTTTGTTGTTGTGCCAGAAGAACAAATCATCCTCACAACTAGACCAGTGGATAGCAGCTTCATCAATGGAGACTAGATTGAAGTTGTCCAGGGTTTCGTCTTGCTTTAATCCACAATCCCCGCTCATGGAGGCCACAGCCATGAGATCAAACACATTGCATTGGGTGAACCTGTTGCCCAAGACCGCTTTCGAGTGCTGAAGAGTACAGATGTTACTGTGAGGACGAAGGTGCTCCCTTCCCGGCCATAGCATTTCCAACCGTCCCATATGCATGTGAAAGGTAGACATTGCACAAGGGAGACTGAAGAAGAATCGACGTGTTTGAATGCGGTGCTGGAGAAGACTATTGGAGGTTCATGGCCCGCCAAAAGGACAGCTCCTCTCTCTTGGAAGAAGTCTGACCAGAGTGCTTCTTGGCGAGCAGGACGGTGAGACTTCGTTTTGCACACTTTGGGCATGTTGTCAGGAGAGAACAGCCCCCAGAGAAGGACTCGTGTTGGGTGAAGTGGAGAGGCAGTGAAACAGAGGAAGACCTTCAACCAGATGCATGGACACAGTGACTGCCACGAGGGGCCCAAGCACGGGAACCATTGTGAGGATGGTGCAGGACCAGAAAGTTCTGTATGGTCAGAACTGACTTGATAGCACCGAACCAGAGCATTGCAGAAGAATTGTATTATTGTTGGCTTATAGTTTTTAGTGAGAGATATTTCTGAGTGACTCATTAGTAAACATTGATAGGTAACCACAGAAAATATTCTGACAGATGGCATGTATCTAGCATACTCATGTGGATGTCATGTACGAGGATGCCTCTTCTCATAAAGAGATGCAGACATTTATTGGGGGAAAAGCTAGTGGGAGGAGGAGACTTCCTCCGACACAGGGGATCTGAGAACGTTTCGAGGCACTTGAAATATTGGAATTAAACCTTAGACAGTGGGATGTCCCTCCCCGACATCTAGTCAATACCAGTTCCTAGAGAGGGCAGGGTAGAACTGCCCCTGAGGGTAACTCATTATGGGAATAGAAAGCCCCATCTTTCTCCCTTAGACCAGCTCGTGGTGTCGAACTGCTGACCTTGTGGCTAGAAGCCCAACACATAATCACTATGCCACCAAGGCTCTTCTAGCGATTGGGTAGGAGGAGGATATTTCAACAGGAGCTCTTTCAGAGGAAGCACAAAAATAAGAAAGTCCCCTGCCCAATAATAGAATGTGTCACAAGACATAGGGAGATAAAAAGGCAGGGAACAGACTCCAATTTGCTATGTCTCTGAACTCTCTGGGTTAATATATTATTTGGCTGGATCATTTTGGTTTTATAACCTGGATTTATTGTGCACTTTCTTTATAAAACTTAATCATATCACCTTGCCTCATTTTAAATGTCAGCATAGATTTGCCTGCCTTTTTTGATATTCTGGAGCAAAGTAAAATAGATAAGGGAGCCGTTCCTGTCACTGTTTTCTGCAGACAATACCTAGGTCTCAGGATGTTTGGCACCCTGGCTTGGGCAGCTTTTCATAACTGGAACATCAGCATAAAGTCTAAGGTTCTCTGACCATGCCAGCTTGCCCTCCAGGACGCTCCACAATATAATATTAATCGTAACGGACTTAAAGGAAATAAAATACCAATCTTCATCGAACGTCCCGAGTGGATAAAGGTAGACAGGTGGGTTTTATGGACACCGAGTCAGTTCTTCGAATGTTCCTATTATGGTGACTTTGACGATGTCAGTGCTGCCTTATGATTTTCCACCTCCGGTGAGAAAGCAGGTGAGGCCCGCAGGTGGAACAGCCACCGCAGGATAGAAGCTAGAGATGACTCCAAAGGATACGTTATGGTTTAGAATCCCTCAGCTACACCATACGCCATTGATTGAAGGGGCGAAGTATAACGGCGTAGCACAGGAGATGGCCTTCTGTGGTGAGAAGCCATGCAGGTTCTGTTCATGCCCCACATGAGAAGCAAGCCACTCAAGGAATCAAGGAAACAGATAAAGACAAAAAAAGAAAGAAAGATAAAGACATGGAGCATCATGGAGGCAGTCAAGTTCAGAGACTAGTCTGAGGTATTCGGTCAAACGATCTGGGCTAGAAAGTAGAAGTCAACAAAGTCCAACGAAGGAGCCAGAGAGCCCAGTAGACATGAAATGGGAGTGGACGGGACTGGGCACGGGTTGGATTTGGCATTGAGTTGACCCCCACACCCCTGGAAGGAGAGTTCGATGAGAACCCTGCTGATGGAGGGTTGCACATTCAGGCTGGAAATGCTGTTTGGTCTGGGTTTAGGTTTGAAGTCAATGTTCCGCGTGACCTTTCATTGAACATCTAAGTGAGGGTCAGTAGTAGGGATGGTGCCTGGCCTGTGGCTGGATTTCTGAGGTGGGGGGCCAGGCCTCTGGAGTGTCCTGCATGTGTAAGAGGTGGTTGTGGTCCATCAGGGAGAATACTATGACTTGACTTATTGAGATGTGCCCTGTACCATCTGAAACAGTGCTACTGCTTTTCTCCCATCCCATAGTCAATCTCAGATGTTCCTGCAAAGCAATTTAGGATCTTTGAGAGCACTTTCCTTTCTAAGCAGCCTGGTTCTAAAGTCATAACATTTTTTTGTGGAACTTTAAAAGAAACCCAAACAGCCCTCCAGGGTGGCCACTTAGTGCAATCAATCGTCCATGGAAGCCAGGAGGGGGCACTCAGTGGTCTGTGACCCTTGTTTTCTTGATGGGCTTAGGGGCTAGGAGGGCGGGAGGTATCAGGCATGGCGTCCTCATCCCCTTGGTATATATAAAAGCAGAGGGTAAGGGCTCCAGCCATCGTGGCTTCTGTCCTTAGAAGTTTCCTCTCTACTGGTTCCATCTTCAGGTTCGGGGACAAGGGACAAAGATAAGAATAAATAATAAAATGAATTATCTTTAAGCTAGCAAGTCAGTTCCTAGTGAGAGGGGAAATAATTCAAGACCACTGTGTCCATAAGGAAACACGAGCACGAAGCTTGAGAATCATCTTGTGAGATAAAAGATTTGTGTTGCGTTCACTAAGATGTAGGCCGAGTACGGTGTCTGGTTGACGTAATTGCTTTGTCAGTGTTGCTGGGATTAAACCAGGTACACTCTTTGTGGTGTTTACAGCTTTCTCTCTGAACGTATTTTATGCGTGCTGTTTGTTCTCCAGTCTGTCCATGATGTAGGCTTATACCCCGCAGAGTAGCATTTATTTCAGCAGATCAAGTTAGGAATTAAGCCTACGAGGTCACATGACACTCGCTGCCATTGTTCTCTGACCAACCTCAAAATCTTTTTCTCAAAATCGTTCCCCAAATGCAAATAAAGCTTACTTCTCATCCATGTGCCAAAGGGCTGAAAATGGATCAGAAGTGTCCCCTTAACCCCGTGGACAGTGAACGGAAAACACCCGGGCCAGGAAGCCCCCTGGGGTTGGGTAGATTCTCAAGGACTCAAAGGAAATGTTTGCGAAGGTCTGTTGAACACGCACAAAGATTATTTAAAAAAAACATATACGTTGTGACTGCACAGGAAGCTACTTCTTTCTGATTCCATTTCATCAATTGCTACACGAAGAAGCACACTCTCGTAGATAATACTCAGAAATCAGCACTTAATATGGCAGTAATGGTTATTGCTGTCATTCTTTACATCTTTAAAAATAATTAAGCATTACTGCATGGGCATTATAAAGTTCCCCTATCACCATTAAGAGGATGTTTGAGGTTCGATGTAATTTAGCAAATTACATTATACAGTAGTTAGGGTTTTTATGTAGTGAAGTGAAATGCGTGCTAGTTAAGCACACTCACCGTGGAGTGCCTTGCACGGAGATCCGTTCCGTGGTCCAGCTGCTGCCAGCTTTGTTCCAGTGTCGTTATTGCTTTGCAGGCTGATGTTCCTCAGGGAGTGATCCGAGTGCAAGCGCCCCATCGCTCCAAAGTTTCCATGGCAATACAGCTCACGGAAGAACTGAAAGCCGGCGATGTGCTTGGCAGGTTTTTCAGCCAAGAAAGGTAGAGGCCTGTTTCTGCTTTCATGATTTCATGGTATAACTCACTTTCCGTACCCCCCCCACCCCACTTTTCTTTCTTTCTTTTTAAATTATAGGGTAGTGTGAAGCACTGGGGGGTGGGGGTGGGGCGAGCATCTTTCGAGAAGAGGAGACTTACCACCTGAACTGTTGGGATGCGTGGAGCTTCACGAACATGCAGGCGGTCCCGGGGTTACCAATGTCCTGATTCGTGGACATCTCCCACCTCCCTCTGACCAACCACTACTCACGCTGCTTTCTTCATCACCATCACCTTCACTTGCAGCGTGAGACGTTTCCCGGTCATTGGAAAGGCATCGAGCCATTTCCTGCAGTAAAATAAGGCCCAGCAAGAACCAGAGGCACCTGTTCCGACTCACTGACATAGTCCACGTTAAGATTTAAAAGCGTGCGTTGGCAGGGAGGTTCTTCATACCCCAGGAGCTCTCTCCCTGCTTTTGTTTGCGTGTTGAACCTGTGTCACACGGCTGTGGAAGGATTCCTTCCCTGCACCGGTTGTGAACTTGGCTCATGAGACCACTCAGTATTCTTCTCGGGTTATGTCAGTTGGGGTCCATTACTGTGTGTAACCTATCTGAACAAATAACTAGGGAGGGGACACTTGGATTGAAACAAATACGATGACATCACTTTTCTGATGAAAGATGATGCCGAAAGGGTATGCACACACACACACACACACACACACACACACAATAATGTTCAGAATAAAAAAAAAAATCTAGTGGAAGGCCTGGAAGTTGCGAGCAGACACCAGTCCCCGGAGCATGGAGGCCACAAGGGCAGAGCTCGCCCTCTCTGCCAGCAGGATGACCAGGCCTTGAATGCAGGCTCAGCGCCTCTGGTGGCCCCAAGTCTTTGACAGCCAGTGTTTCCTTCTCAGGAGGAGACGCACAGCCTTTCCAGGACAGTGTGCAATACGTGTTTACAATCATTAGATGCTCAAGCAAGTGTGTTGGGTTTTAAACGTCTCATTTTTAGCCCAGGTCATTTTTCCTTAGACTGCGTCCTCCTGCCCCACCACCTCACCTCTGAATTATAAACTGGACTGATTTTTTTTTTTAAGTCTTTGGCATTTAAAAATCTGGGGCATTGGCCACTTGGTTTATGAATACTCCAGTTTGGTCCTTCATTGAATTTAAGCTCATCCTAACAAAAAGGCTTTCCATCAAATTTTCCACGGAAACTTCTCCAATTTTAACCTAGTCCCACAAGTATTTGACATGTGCATGCTCTCTGTTTAAGGCCCTCTGTTAGGTGTTAGAATGGACATAAAATTAATTTTAAGGAATTTTCCCCTCTGGGTCATAACTTGGGAGATGAGGTGAATCTTTGCAGTTAGCAAATGGTGGTGAAATGAAAGAGAGGCTGATTGGCAATACCCGAGTGTCTAGGCAGTGATGAGAAACAGCCCTCTCCGTGCCTCTGAAGGTGGTGCGGTAGGATGTCTGTCCTGCCACTAGGAAGACCCACAATTCACAAGGTCACTCATTCCTGAGAAGGAGGAGAGGGGTGCGACTCGCAGTCTGTGGTTTCTGCCTCCAAATGCAGCACATCCTCCTCATGGGCTAAAGGGTATAGAGTCTCACATAACTGGGAGCCAGTGGTATTGTCTGCGAGTGAAAGGCGTTTCTCTCAATTAATTGTTGGGGACTGTCTGGAAATTCTTAGTGTCTTTGCACTCAAAGTGTTTTTCTGTTTTAACGAAGTCAATCCACTTCCTTTCTAGCCTTTCTCTTGACCTAGTAGCTACCAGATCTGTGCTACTCTTCTTCCAACAATGAGCATGTGTCTAAAGATCTGGCCAGGCTTGAGACGGAAGCGCAATTTCTGGGCTCCAGCCAGTTACTTTGTACAGAATTTCCTTTTGCAACTCAAGCGTTCCAGATAGTGGGTACTTTGGTTTTCTCACTGATCCTTTAAGTTGGTCACTGTGAAGTTGTGCTTATATGCATGCTACTTTAACCTTGGTGAATAATGTGACCAAGAGCCAGACATTGTTAGAGGAAACACCCGTTTTGTGATCATTTCTTTCCAGTGGTGCTTTTATTTAGCAAGCATTTACTTACCCCTTACTCAACCTAAAGCTACCCGGTCTGGTAAATTTCCCTCCCCTTTAGCTTCTTTCCCCCAGACCCCAATTCTTAGCCTTCATTTTTATGTTGGGGGACACTAGAGATAGGATACCAGTACTCAAGTGCCCATGCTGCCTTTGTCTGGTTTATAATCCCCGCGTAATTCTCAAAATTGCATTCTGTAGTAAGATCCACTTTACAGTCTTATGACATTCTCAAACTTTTCCTGGTAAGATTACACCACGGGGGATGCAGTAGTCTTTACTTTAACTATGGATTTGTCTGTGACTCTCAAACAAAGTCTTTTATAGCCCAGACAATCCAATTTAGGTTTTGTTTTTTGAAGTAGAATAAGAACTTAGATACTTAGAAAAAAATAATCTGGAGACAATTCCTGACTTGATTTTTTTTTTAAATCATATTTCCCCAACTATTCAACTTTGTTTTCCAAGAAGCAAGGACTCTTTTTATCTTATGATTTACTGCATTCCAAATAGAAAGAAATCACCATTATTATTCAATGATTATTAAGCACAAGCCAGTTTGGAAACTAATGGAAATGGCTCTTGGTTAGCATCCAGCTCAGTAGAAGAGAGCTTCTGTGTAAGGTTCTAGGTATATACTGCCCAGTGCCTGGACCGCCCATTGCCTGGACCGCCCAGGTGTCTGGACCACCCAGGTGTCTGGTTTGCCCCAGGTGTGGAGAGCCAAGGACAGCAGATGGGAGAACAGATGAGTTGTAAAATGGACGGCTGTTGATCAGGAAAGCCGCTGTCCTCCAGATATTTCTTACTGGTTTGAATAAGAGGAAGACCTTATTTTCTCTTAATTCCAGGGAGTGTGTCTTCGCCACTGCAGAATATTTTTAACGCACATTCTCAGACTAGGTCCTAAATGGACTAAATCATCATTCCTAAAGCACTAGATTTCAAATTTTAGCAGACTTACCCAGAAAATCCTTACACAGAAAGTTTCGCAGACCACTGGACTGCCCTGATTTTTACTGTGGTAACCTAGTATTCTGGAAAAATTTATTTAAAGAATGTAAATGTTTAAATATATGCCTCTTGTGAGTCTGACACACGCAGGATTGTGGAGCAGGTTTTATTACTTACATGCATTGGGTACCAATTAAGCAATCAGTTTTTAGTACTGCAGACACATGATAAATACAGATTGGGTAAAGGCAATGTGAAAACTAAGGTGGAAACCTTTTTTTTAATATATATATATATTTCTGTGATGACCTTGGCCTCCCTTATGAAAAGTAGATGATCATAGTCATTATTTTCATGGAAGCTAAATGTTTCTTTAGCTTCCTTTTGCACATTTAAATCCTGATTTACTCTTTAGACCTCAGATGTGTGATTTGATTTGCTTATTTATGTGTACAGGTGTGACATTTTTATTACTTATTAGGCACATTTAACAGATGGGAAAACACAAACATGGTGATCATTATCGTCTGCTTCAGTTACGAATTTTCCATACAAGGTAGAATTCCCCAACTACATGGGAATGATTTACTCAGAAGCTCTTTTGATGGTCCAACTAATATGTTTGTTTTTAACCCTAATAGTGGAGTGGCCCAGACATTCCAGAAAGGGGAACTTTTTTTGTATGAAGTTGGAGGAAATATTGGTAAGCATGTGTTTTTTTCTCTGTCCACTCCTCTTATGCACTTGCTCTGTACAGTGGTGATTAGGCATTGCCGTGCATGTGTATTTGGAGGGCAAGAAAGGGAATTAGAAGTGAAATATAATAACCTGCAGCTAATGATGAATTTGTGGAATTAAAAGTCCTGCCTTTTTCTTTAGGCTCTCTTTAAGCAACTTTTGTACATATTCCTGTCCATGGTCACACCCTGTCCTATAACAAGGATGACTTGGTTAATGATACAGGTTTTTCAAAAATCACATCTTCATAAAAGAAGTACTTGAACTTATTTACGGCCAAGAGAACACTTTTACGATGGTACAATACTAGATATTTTTAGAAAAAGTAAAAACAAATTTTGTCTTAATTGATTTCCTATTACGTAGGTAACTTAGGAAATACAAATAAGACAAATAGCTTAATTTTGACCATGACTTATATTGTGTTTTATCATTTGAAATTATCAGAATAGTGGATTTCATCACCTCTTCCTTTTTAAAATTTAAAGCAAACTAATTTCTCCTCTCCCTTTTTTTCCCTTGACTCCTAAAAATGACAATAGTGATGTTGTCAAGAAATAAATGAAATAATGTTAGGTTCAAAGTAGTCATGGAAAGCTGTTAAACATTTTGTAGAAAAAATTTTCTGGGACTTTTAAGTGTTAGTAAATATCGAACACGGGATACAGAAATTTGAAGGTACATTCTTAAAATTCAAATAAACCATAACTATATTAGAAATTTAGGAGCCCTGGTAACATAGTGGTTAGACTTTGGGCTACTAGCTGAGAGGTCAGAAGTTTGAAACCACCAGCCACTCCACAGGTTTTCCATAAAGAGTTATAGTCTCGGGCAACTCTACCCTGTCCTGTAGGTCTCTGTGAGTCTTAATGAATTTGGTTTCTTTGGGTTACATTAGAAATCTAAAGTTGTTACTTCTATTAGTAAAGATTGTTTATATGCCCCTCCCCCTCGTGTCCCCCCGCCCCCCCCTTTTTTGCGATTAGCTATTCAGTACAAAATATGATTCCTTATTTTGGTAGATTCAAAACTGTTGCCATTCTTAATAAACATGAATAAGCTTTTAAGAAATGGTTTCAACACCCATCACCCAAAGTCCTTTCCCCTTTAGAAATTACTTTTAAACCCACTCATGTAGAGTAAGACTACTTAAATAAACTTTGTGAACAGTTTGGCCAATATTATTATGGGAAATGAGAAACAATGAGAAGTATTTTGAAGTCTAGGGCCTTAGAGTGAATCCCTTAGACGTAAGTTTGAAAACTGCATTCCAATCTCCCCAATGTTAAACCGACACCTCTCTCTCTCTCTCTCTCTCTCTCTCTCTCTCTCTCTCTCTCTAATAGGGGAACGCTGCCTCGACAATGACACTTACATGAAGGACTTATACCAGCTCAACCCAAGTGCCGAGTGGGTCATAAAGCCAAAGCCGGCCTAAAAGACTTACCGAGTTCCCGTCAGACAACCAGGAGGACTGTCTTCCTAATACTTGCTGGGTCAAGAGTGTAAATAAAAGTCAGAGCAGGCTCCTTTGTTGTTCCATTGTGCTCCTCACTATTAAATAACACCCAGGCCTTTTAAAAAAGAGAGCTTTGAGCTGCTGCCAGACGTGCAGGTTTCCCTGTGACAAGAACTATTGTAGGGCTGTTCCCTGTATCTGGAGTCAGAGGAAAGAGACTTAATGGGCTGTGGCACTGTCACTCACTTACACTCTGTGAAATGTGCCCAGATGGGACGCCGTCTTTCTTCATTTGAAAATAAAGTCTCTTCCCGCTCACTGCTTTCTCCTAAGTCATGTATCTTAATACCTTTGTCCTCCCGCCTCTCTCTCCGCCTCTTCCCTCCCTTTCACAAGGTCGGTTAGCTGCACGGACATGGGATCGATCCAGTGTGGCCAGTTGTTCCTGCAGCACATCTACAGGTACACTTAACTCCCTGGTATTTCAGGGATTGGAATGTGAAGATTCATCTCATTGGAAACCTTTGCTCCAGCAGTAACATCTTAACTTCGTCTGTCCATCTCATCGTGAGGTGATTTGAATGTTTTTCAGTTCACCCGATGTAGGTTTATAGAAGCAGATCTGCTACTAAGAAACTAGAATTGTTAGAAACTGCCAATTATAACTGAACCACCACGCATTCCCATACAAAGAATAGATCTATGTGGAATAACTGGATTATGGTATAAAGCGAATGTAAGCAAAATCACTCCATGTATGCTGTACTCTCCCAAATGGAATTTAAGAGGCATTGCCGGATGTAACTTCTGTTCTGCTGGCTTTATAAATATGCATCATAGCATAACTAGGTGGTGGCTGGGGAATGCATTCTACTTAAAGAGGGGTTTTTTTCTTCTTCTCCTAAATAGTCTGCCAGAAGAGTTACTCTTCTGAGTAAGACAGTCACATGTGAGCGAGCTTTTGTGTATGTACTTATTTAAATACTCAGATTAAATTTATGAAAATACTGTGGAAAGTACTACACCCGGGGATTTTAATGCACACACCATATTGTGACAAGAGATGAACCGCTGCAGTAAACAAGAGGACTAAAATGAGAGAGAAGTGTCAAGTACTTTATGAGTTTAGAGTGTCGTAAATAAAAGGTGATAGCAGTGGATGCAACACAAACTGTGTTCATGATACTTTAGGAGAAATTACACGTTCTCAGCTGCTCCTGATGTCCCTCTAATTAGGAGGGAAAATGCTGTTAATGAGAATGGTCGTCAATTTTTAGCATATAATTACAAGAGCAGCCTGTGGATATGGCCATGAAAATAACTTGGTGGTGATTCGTGCCATTGCTTTTTTATTGAAAGAGAAATTCTATAATTAAATGCATCTTTTTTCTAAATGATCTTCTCTTGGAATTATTACTCTTACTCCGATGTGTACATGACTCTCCTAATGGGCAATGCACATATATTGGGAGGGAAGGGGGGAGGTTAAATGTATGCTTTAAAGTGGGAGGCCGTGTGAGAAATAGAAATTTGTCCCCCGCCCTTTTTTTCCCCTCCCTTCTGCTCATTTCTATTCTTTAGGACTTTTCAAGCCACACTGATTTTGAAACGAGGGGTTCATTTCCCCAGGAAGTTATGAGTTGGTTGCTAATCTCAAGGTCAGCTGTTCAAAACTACCAGCCACTCCACAGCAGAAGAGGCTTTCTTCACTCATGACGATTTACAGCCTCGGAAATCCACAGGCCAATTCCACTCTGTCCTATAGGACCAGCGTGAGTCAAATCAATTGGTGGCAGTGAGTGAGAAGTAACAATATCGAAAAGCACATTTAAGTGCTTGAAATGCTCTAGGAATGCGTCCCTCCAACAGAAGGAACGTGGATGTGCTGTTGTAAATAAAGTGTTCTAACACGGGGCCGCTTTTCACCATGTTCACCACTGAGCTTCGTGGGGTGTGTGTGTGTGTGTGTGTGTGTGTGTGTGTGGTGGGGCAGGAAGCACGACCAATCAGTGTCAGCTTTCCTTTGTCCATCGACACTGCATGGTCATGCTTGTACATAGCCGAGAAAGGAGTCTGTCTAAAGAGAAGAGACAACGGCATACAGCTTCGAATGTAAACACCCTTCCCACTTTCAACCCAGTGACTTTTTCTGTCAGTTTTTCTCTTAGAAAATATTAATTCTCAAGGCAGGTTTATTTATATTGGTTAGTGTGTGAGGGGAAACTGAGAGAATTATACTTGCCTTGAGACGTAAGCGTTTATAGGGCGTTCCTGTGAAAAGTTGATGGCCTGGGTATGTGGTGTTTATAGAAAGCTTAATATTTTCGAGATAATTCGCCTTTTCTGAAGTCAGACATTGTAATTCTTGATAGTTACACAAGTTGTGAAATTTATATAAATTCTTGGCTCCCAGTACTTAAGAGAAACAGCTTGTTTTACTGACTTCACAGGATTTTAAAACGATTGAATTTTTCCTTACTGTACTGCCTTTCCCCCTACCTATCAGTAGGTGGCAGTGTTAGTAAGGGATTTGTTTGCATCTAACCAATGGGAGGTTTTGAAGTAAAAGCGCGTTCTTAGGGAAATTCGTGGGTAATTGTAAGGCAACTAGTTCAGAACACCGCTGGTCTCTCATCTGGATCACTGGTTCTAAGAAGTATAAAGCATATTTAATTTCAGTATTTTTATGCTTAGTCTATTCATCTTATTTATACTTATCTCTTTGAGCAGGAAGAACGAGGTTTCTCTGTCCTTTTAAAAAACAGTTCTATTAGCACGTCATCTGCATGTCATACAATTCAAAAAGAGCTTTTTTAACGCAGTATGAGACATGCTGGCAGTGTCTATTTGATCGAGGGGCAGTGAAGAAGAGGAAGACCCTCAACAAAATGGGTTGGCGCAGTGGCTGCAACCGTGGGCTGAAATGTGACAGTTGTGAGGTGAGCCCAGCACTGGCCGGGCGGTGTTTCGTTCTGTGACACGCAGGGGTCGCTGTGAGTCAGAACCGACTCGATGTCCCTAACAACAACCTTTTGAGCGGAAGGATTAGGAGAAGATGCAAACAGTGAACCAGAAAAAGGGAGGGATAGCCAAGTAAATGCGTATAATGTGCACCTGGATTTTAATTTTAAATAATTTTATTTATTCAGTGAATAAAATAACAGAATAAATCCCTGTTCTCACAGTATTTCTGATCTCAAATTCTACCCCCACAAAGGGATTCAGGAGCTCCACACTGAGTTTAAGGCACCTATGACATAGGCAAGATGCCAAGTAGTCATTTATAGGAGCAAGGGCTCTAGAGAGAGTCTTTCATAGTCATGTGGCCTTTCCACTTATAGCGGAGGTACACCGAGCATGCATTATATGAAATGGATCAGTAATGGCATTGCTGTATGTTAAAAGGTGGTAAGTGCAGCGGAGACATGCACACACACACACACACACACACAGCCACAACAGGGTAGATGGACCTGGAAATAGTAGGATGAAAGGATAAGTGCAGTGCTATTTTAAGCAGTGGTATCTCATTGAACAGTTAACCTTTGAACAAGACTTCAGAAGAAGTGAGGGACCTGCCACGTGGAGGGGATCTGGCAGAAGAGCATTGGAAACATAGGAAACAACTAGGACAAACAGCCTGGATCCAGTGTGGCCGAAGTGCAGGGACTACTAGTGAAAGTGGGAGGTGGGGTCGAGAGGTATGTGAGGGTGGGGGGCTGAGATCTTGGAGGATGTGCACAAGGGAACCTGTAGATTATTGCTCAGTTGAAACTATTCCAGTGAGATAGTTTGTTGGTGAGGGCAGTAGCAACGGAATGATAACAAGTGGACATATTCTGGGCATAGTTTTGAAGGTATCCTTAGAGTTTCTGGAAGGAGGGAGAATGATCAAGGACTACTGTTAAGACTTTCTACTTGAGCAGCTAGAAGGCTGTGGTTTCCCAGACAAATGATGAAGGTGAGGATTAAGTAGGTCCTCTGTGGGGTGAAGGATCCAGGAGTTCCATCTTAAATGTGTGAAGTTCCAGGAGCCTGTTAGACATTCAAGTGGCAATGTCAAGTATGCATTTATATGAGCAGGAGTTTCTCTCTGTCTGGACTGGTGTCATGAATATGTATATGGACTTCAAGCTTAAACCACGAGCTTGTATGACATCATCCAGCCATTGAGGGTAGTTGGAAAAGAGCAAAGACCAAGGACTGAACCCTGAAGCTGCCTGGCAATGTTGTTAGTGTACATGGAGTCTATTCTGACTCATTTTGACTCCATCAAAGGAGTCCAGGTAGCATTGGGACTGCTAAACACACAGGGCTGCTAAACACAAAATCAGTAGTTCAAAACCATCAGTGGCTCCAAGGGAGCAAAACTAGGCTTTCTACTCCTATGAAGAGTTACAGTCTTAGAAACTCATAGGGACAGTTCTACCCTGTCCTATAAGATCACTATGAGTGGGCATGGGCTTGATAGGCAGTGAGTGAGAGCCACCCATCACTAGGAATTAGGAAGAGGAAGCACAAAAGAAATAAAAACCTTTATGGTAACTAGGAAGTTGTGGCAGCCAGGTGAAAAAAAGGCATGAAGGAAAAGGGAGTGAGTATATGACTGGTTGGGGGAGCAGTTTAGGGAAAGTGATAAGATTAAAAATCAGATTGCAGGGTAGTTCTGGCAAGATGGCAACTGAGTAACACACACCAGAGGGACTCCGCAGAAATCAGCACAGGAGAGCAACTGAGAGGGAAACTGCCAGTCACAAAGATAAGCAGACACAGATCCAAAAGGTTTTGAAGAGCTGTTGCCTTTTGTCTTACCACTGTGGATGCCAGCTGGGGCTTAGCCTTAGCCTTGCCACAGCCTCAGGGATCTCAGTCCACGCCCCACACACCTCTGAGTTTGTTTGTTTTTGTTTCACAAGCCACTGCTGGCCTCCAGACCACTCCCTTCCATCTAGGGCAGCTCTGCCTGCCCTCCACCCAGCTTCGGGAGCTCCCACCTGCAGCCTTACACAAGGCTGGGGAAATCCCACCCGTCTTCCACCTGACCCCAAACGGTAGGGGGATGGGTAGGGGGATCTCCCGTCAAAAGGCTGGGGGAACTCCCGCCTACTCTCCAAGGCCCTTTAAGCGGCTGGGGAAACTCCTTTCCACCTTTGTGGTGCTCCACTCAGTTGGGGGAAACCTCTTCCCGCCTTCCACAGCACTCCACGTGACTGGGAGATCCCCAGCATGTTCTCTGCAGCCCTACACGAGGCTGAGGGAACTTCTTTCTGCGTGCTGCAAGGCTTCACATGGCCTAAGGCAGCTCCACCAGCTCTTTC